TGTGTATTTTAGTTATTGTGTAGCTTGGATAACAGGTTTGGGTATTTTAGTTATTGTGAAGCCTAGATGACAGGTTTGTGTATTTTAGTTATTGTGTAGCTTGGATAACAGGTTTGGGTATTTTAGTTATTGTGAAGCCTAGATGACAGGTTTGTGTATTTTAGTTGGTGTGAAGCCTAGATAACAGGTTTGTGAATTTTATTTGGTGTGAAGCTTAGATGACAGGTTTGTGTTGTTTAGTTGGTGTGTAGCTTAGATGACAGGTTTGTGTTGTTTAGTTGGTGTGAAGGTTAGCTGAGAAGTTTGTATTAGATGTTACTGGCTTATGTTTCCTTAAGTGTACAGTTTATCTGTTTCATACATGTCTGTATCAGATACATTGTTTTGTATAATGATGTAATTTGTATTTCTTGAATGATAGTGTGTATATGAAAAGAATATGAATTGTGGACAGAAGTTTATGTAAATAATGATTAACTGGAGGTGAAAAAAATTCCATTAGTTATTGCTGATCATGTAATGAAACATATGAAAAGGTTTGATCTATTTCCCCCACATTTTATGTTTATAGAGATAATGCCCTAAGTATTATCACAGTTCTTTTTCTGATCAGTTATAGGTTTGTGTGAGGAAGAAGATCTGATAAACTTGTGTATTGTTAGATATTACAGGTTTGTTTAGGAAAGACCAATGAGTCTTAACCTTGTTTATGAAGAGCAGGTGAGTTGTGGAAACTTTGTTTATGAAGAGCAGGTGAGTTGTGGTAACCTGGTTTAGGAAAGGAAGGTGAGTTGTGGAAACCTGGTTTAGGAAAGGAAGGTGAGTTGTGATAACCTTGTTTAGGAAAGGAAGGTGAGTTGTGATAACCTTGTTTAGGAAAGGAAGGTGAGTTGTGGAAACCTGGTTTAGGAAAGGAAGGTGAGTTGTGGTAACCTTGTTTAGGAAAGGAAGGTGAGTTGTGGTAACCTTGTTTAGGAAAGGAAGGTGAGTTGTGGTAACCTTGTTTAGGAAGGGAAGATGAATTTCATCAAATTTACTTATGATAGGCAAGAGAGATGTGTTAATTTTATATAGGTAAGGCATGTGAGCTTTATCAAGTTTGCATAGGAGAAGTAGGCAACTTATGGTTACTTTTTATTGGAAAGACAATTCCACTCCTCATTTCATACTTACTAGGTGTTTAATCTGCAGGCTTAGAAACTGATTTTTGCCATATAATCCAACTGTTACTGAGGCCTGCCGATGATATAAATTAACAACCTACCATCAACACAGGTTGATCAGTATAACTGGCATTAGTCCATATGGAAGCTTCAGCTCTATATATTTTTGTGCTATGAGCTAAGTATTTTTTGGCTGATTCTTTAGGGAGTTCAGGCACAAACAGTGGCAAACTTCAACCTGGCATTTCTCTCTGACCTGACCATTATTCCTGTGATCAACAAGATTGATTTGAAGAATGCTAAACCTGAGAGAGTGGCTGAGCAGATTGAAAAGCTGTTTAGTGTGGAACCTTCAGAGATTCTCAAAGTAAATCTATTTTCTTGCATTTGTGTATAGGGTTTAACTCTTTCAATACGGGGTTGGTCAATTTGACTGAGTCATGTGATCTTTTGTGCTCATTTAAAGTCTTTATAAGTTTAATACTTTTAACTCTCAATATATTGGGTATATTTTCATGAAATTTGGCAGTCTTTCAGTTAATATTACAAGTATTTCACAAACAAAAAGTCATATATCTTAGTGAAGTATTTTAATGAAATAAAATAAAGATTTGTCCATGAATATATTGAGTATTTG